GAGGTTCTGGAGTCGCTGGAGGTACTGGTGCTGAGGGTACTGACACCGGAGGTTCTGGAGCCGTTGGGGGTGCGGGCGCTGAGGGTTCTGAGTCTGCTGTTGCGCGGTCTCCTTGGAGTGGCCGCCTTCGTCCCCGTGTGCCTCTCACCCCACAGCAGCTGCAGGACTGGTACGGTCGCCGTCAGCGTCGCGCTGCTGGAGCTCGGAGTCGTGCTGGTCCTTTGTCTACTGGAGGTGCTGGAGTTGCTGGTTCTGGAGGGGCTCGTGCTGGAGACACTGAGGCTGGAGACCCTGGGACTGGAGGTGCTGGCTCTGGGGGTGCTGCTGCTGGAGACACTGAGGTTGGAGACCCTGGAGCTGGAGGTGCTGGTTCTGGGGGTGCTACTGCTGGAGACCCTGCGGTTGGAGACCCTGGGACTGGAGGTGCTGGTTCTGGGGGTGCTGCTGCTGGAGACACAGAGGTTGGAGACCCTGGGACTCGAGGTGTCGGCTCTGGGCCTGGAGCTTCTGGAGCTGCTGGAGGTACTGGAGCTGCTGGAGGTACTGGAGCTGCTGGAGGCACTGGAGCTGCTGGAGCTGCTGGTTCTGGTGCAGCTGCGCCGACACGACTGTTCTTCGCTCCGCCGTCTCCGTCGTCTCTGCCGCCGTCTGCCTCTGTTCTTCGTCAGGTTCTTACTCTTCCGTCGTCTACTGGTCTTCCGTTACAGACTGGCTCGCCGCTGCCTGCTCCTTCTCCTTACGCTGAGCTGACTGGTAGTCCTGCTGTGCGTCGTGAGCCTGCGTCGCGTCCTGTCTCGCCTGCTCGTCCTGGTCGTACCGGTCCTCGTGTTCCTCGTTCGCGTCCGCCGGCTGTCCCCAGCGCACACCTCGTAGTCCGTCGTCCTTCCTCTGTTCCGCAGCCTGTTCCTCTGCCGTCTCCTCCTGCGTCCTCTTTGCCTGACGTTCCGGACCCTGCGTCTGACCGGTTTCGTGCTCAGCACCCTACTGTCACGCGTCTACTAGCCACAGTTGTCACTGACCCGTCGTTTGAGTCTGCTGCTGCGTCTGCTCTTGTCGCTGAGCTTGTTGACTTTGCTGCTGCCTGTCGTCTAGACTTCACTGCCAGTCTTGTTACTGAGTCTGAGTCTGTCTGTCCTCCGTCCGTCGGGGGTGAGTGTGCTCTTAGCACGGACGTCCTTGAGGACAGGCAGGAGGAGTTCCAGTGCCTTGCTGCTGCTTTACCTCATCTTGTGTCCTCGCTACTTGCCCCTGAGGGAGACCCGGATGCACCAGACATCCCGACTCCGCGCTCTTACGCAGAGGCGATAGAGGGTCCCTACTCCTCTCAGTGGCAGGCAGCCATGGACGCAGAGATGGCTTCCTGGAAGTCCACAGGCACCTACGTTGACGAGGTTCCCCCACCTGGGGCGAACATCGTCAGTGGCATGTGGATTTTCAGGGTGAAGCGGCCGCCGGGTTCTCCGCCTGTCTTCAAGGCGCGTTACGTGGCTCGAGGCTTCAGTCAGCGAGAGGGAGTTGACTTCTTCCAGACCTTCTCCCCCACCCCGAAGATGACCACTCTTCGGGTGCTGCTGCACGTTGCTGCTCACCGTGAATACGAGCTTCACTCTCTTGACTTCAGCACAGCTTTCCTGCAGGGCAGCCTGCACGAGGAGATCTGGCTGCGCCGCCCCCCGGGCTTCACTGGGTCGTTCCCTCCTGGTACCCAGTGGAGCCTCCGGCGGCCGGTCTACGGTCTCCGCCAGGCGCCACGTGAGTGGCACGACACACTGAGGACTACGCTTGCGGCTCTTGGGTTTGCGCCTTCTACTGCTGACCCGTCGCTGTTTCTGCGCACCGACACTTCCCTGCCGCCGTTCTACATCCTCGTGTATGTCGACGACTTGGTTTTTGCCACTGCTGACACTGAGGCTCTCGCCCACGTGAAGTCGGAGCTGCAGAAGAGACACACGTGCACAGACTTGGGTGAGCTGCGCAGCTACCTTGGCTTGCAGATCACCCGAGACAGAGCACGTCGCACCATCACCTTGACTCAGTCACACATGGTGCAGCAGGTCCTTCAGCGCTTCGGCTTCACCTGGTCTTCAGCACAGGCCACTCCTCTGGCTACAGGTCACACGCTCTCAGCTCCACCTTCGGACGAGTCCGTAGAGCCGAGTGGTCCTTACCCAGAGCTAGTCGGCTGCCTCATGTACCTGATGACTTGCACTCGACCTGACCTCGCGTACCCTCTTGGTCTCCTGGCTCGCTACGTGGCTCCTGGTCGGCACCGACCTGAGCACATGGCTGCTGCTAAGAGGGTACTGCGTTACTTGTGCAGCACATCAGGCATGGGGCTAGTGCTTGGAGGGACGAGCCCAGTTGTCCTCACTGGGCACTCAGACGCTTCTTGGGTTGACGACCTGGCTACTCAGCGGTCGTCACAGGGTTACACCTTCAGCCTTGGCTCTGGTTCAGTTTCGTGGCGTTCTACACGCTCGACTTCAGTTCTCGGCTCCAGTTGTGAGGCTGAGATCTACGCCACCGCCATGGCTGCACAGGAGTTACGCTGGCTCACCTACCTGCTGACTGACTTGGGAGAGCAGCCTCGTTCTCCTCCAGTGCTGTACGTTGACAACAAGGCCGCCATTGCCTTGTGTGAGGAGCACAGACTGGAGCACAGAACGAAGCACATTGCTCTGCGGTACTTCCTGGCTCGAGAGTTGCAGCAGCGAGGCCAGCTTCGTCTTCGCCACGTGGCCACTCGGGCCAACACTGCTGACATATTCACCAAGGCACTTCCGTCTGGTGATCATCAGCGCTTTTGTACTCTGTTAGGCCTTGTGCCTACGTTTCCACACTTGCTGTAGTCTCTGCTTGTACTGTGATCTGTACATATATATATATGCATGCTGGCTCTTGCTAGGTAGCCATCACTGTACTGTTATTGCTGCATATATATCTCTGCATGTGAACTGGCCCAGTGGCCCTTTGCTTGTGCTCAGAATGCGTGGTGACGTTGTGATCCACCCTGAGCTTGTTTTGCTTCTCTTGACTGGTCGTGTGACCCCTTGTTCTCCCCCACTTTGCCTATGGGGGTGTGTCAAACTATATGTACTGCATATTGTCTAGGCTGTAGTGGGGTAGCCCACATGGGGTACAACCCAATTAGGGTTTACTACTTGTACTCCTGCATCCTGTTAGTTCATCCATTCCTGCTGCTAGATTCTAACATTTGCTTATGGGGGTGTGTCGGAATGTTATATTTGTCTAGTCTGCAGTGGGGTACTCTATAGTGAGTACAACCCAGGTAGGGTTTGCTATTCGTATCCCAACTGTCTGCTAGTGCAACCCTCTCTGCTTTCACAAACTGCTCGCTACTCTACTGCCTCAAACCCTAACTATGGCTACTAAGTTGTAGCTACTATTTCAACACTAGCATCTGCCATCCCATCCCGCCCTCCACTCCTAGCTCGCCGTTCGCCGTTCGCCGCGCGCGGTGAGCCGCTGCTTCCCGCTCGCCGCTCGCGTGCCCTCCCTTTCACGTTCGCCGTCCGCCGTTCGCCCTTCGCCGGACGACGTCCGGAATGAGTCTCCCCTCGCCGAACCACGCCGCCTCGTTCTTTTCTGGTTTATACCCATTCTCGGCTGCGCGAATGCTTCTTTACCGGCTCGGTTCATCGGACTGGGCTCTACGTCTCCTCACGTGGCCCCACCGCGACCACCGCCACACCTTTTCTCCTTCCCCCCCATGCCATCTCCCCTTCCCGCCACGCCAACTCCCCTTCCGCCACGTCATCTCCCCTTCCCGCCACGCCATCCCCCCTTCTCGCCACGTCATCTCCCCTTCCGGCCACGCCATCCCCCCTTCCCGCCACGCCATCTCCCCTTCCCGCCACGCCTTCTCCCCTTCCGGGCACGCCCTCATTTCCCCCCTGCACGCCCTCATTTCCCCCCCTGCATGACCTCATTTCCCCCCCTGCACGCCCTCATTTCCCCCCCTGCACGCCCTCGTTTCCCCCCCTGCACGCCCTCATTCCCCCCCCGGCATGCCCTCATTCCCCCCCTGCACGCCCTCATTTCCCCCCCTGCACACCCTCATCCCCCCCCCCGAACGCCCTCATTCCGCCCCCCCCCCCCTCTCCCCGAACGCCCTCATTTCCCCCCCTTGCATGCCTTCATTTTCCCCCCTGCACGCCCTTGGTAGACAGAAACGTAGCGCCTTGGGGAGAGGGGATGAGAAGCGAGAAGGCTGGGGTGGGGGGATGGGAGGAGAGGGAATAAGCAGCGCGAAGGGGGCGAAGGGGGGTGGGATTCCCCGTCCTATCTCCTGCTTGCCCATTGTTTCCCCCCTGCTCACTCTTTCCTTTCCCCCTGCTTACCCATTGTTTCCCCCAGCTCACTCATTCTTTTCCCCCGGCTTACCACTTGTTTCCCCCTTTTTCCACCTGCTTACCCTGTGTTCCCTCCCTGTGGCCTCTGGTACTCTGTTTCCCATTATCTTACGCTATGTTTCCCCCCTGCTCTCTCTCTCTTTTCCCCTGCTTACTCCTTGTTTCTCCCTTGTTTCTCCCTTGTTTACCCCTTGTTTCCCCTGCTTACCCCTTGTTTCCCTCCTGCTTACGTATTCTTTGTTTCCCCTCTGCTTACCCTTTGTTTCCCCCCTGGTTACCCTTTGTTTCCCCCTTGCCTACCCCTTGTTTCCCCCCTGCTCGCTCTTCCCTCCCTGCCCTCTCTTCCCTCCCTGCCCTCCCTTCCCTCCCTGTTCTCTCTTCTGTGGTGCAGCTCAGAACATCGCGTAGCAAGTTATTTACAAAATACCCTAATCAGTTTGAGGTTCTATATATTTAATAATGATAGCAATGGTCATGTGTGGGTATTTGTAATGGTCCCTTTTTTGCAACATTGGTGGGTGTGGAGAACATTTATGTATTCTAAGGTAAATAACTTGAGTTACAAGACACCCTTTGACCACTCTTATCGTCACCTCCGCTCACACATTGGCTAATCACATATAGTGCTCATGCTCCTGCAGTCACCCCAGCTGCAGCAGCAAGTCGGAGGCCCAAGCAGGAGGGAAGGAGGGGTGGATGAGTGGCGCGTGTGGTGGCAGGGCGAATGAGAGTGCCATAGTGCCCAGCATCCACTCGCCCTATGGCGTGTGTGGTAGCGGGGCGCCCACGTCCTCCCCTCCATGGCGCCCCGCTGCCCTGCTGCAGCCTGCACGGCACACTCAGCCGAGCACGCAGGGAAAAGAGGAGAGTGGCGAAAGGGGGGAGGGGGTAAACCAAGAGAAAGAAGGGGGGAAATGGGGAAGAAAAAGGTGAAATGAGGGTAAGGAGGGATGGGAATGAGGGCATGGAGGGGGGAAATGAGGGGAAGGAGGGAGAGACATGAGGGAAAGAAGGGGAAGAGGGAAGGGAGGAGATAGAATGAGCTGAGAGAGGGGTTGGGAGGGATGGGAAGATGGGGTTGAGGACGGGAGGAGATAGGAGGAGGAGGTGCGACCTGGGGGAAAAGGGAGGTGCGACCTGGGAGGAAATGGAGGTGCGATCTGGGGGGGGAACAAGGGGAAGCAGAGGGGGAAATAAGGGGAAGGAGAGGGGGGGAAAGAGGGGAAGCAGAGGGGGAAATAAGGGGAAGGAGAGGGGGGAACGAGGGGGGAAAAAAGGGAAGGAGAGGTTGGAACGAGGGGAAGCAGAGGGGAAAATAAGGGAAGGAGAGGGGGGAACGAGGGGAAGCAGAGGGGAAAATAAGGGGAAGAAGAGGGGGGAACGAGGGGAAGCAGAGGGGGGAAATTTGGGGAAGGAGAGGGGGGAACGAGGGGACGCAGAGGGGGAAATGATGGGAAGGAGAGGGGGGAACGAGGGGAAGCAGAGGGGGAAATAAGGGGAGAGAGAGGGGGGAACGAGGGTGAGCAGAGGGGGAAATAAGGGGAAGGAGAGGGGGGAACGAGGGGAAGCAGAGGGGGGGAATAAGGGGAAGGAGAGGGGGAACGAGTGGGAGCAGAGGGGGAAATCAGGGGAAGGAGAGGGAGGAACGAGGGGGAGCAGAGGGTGAAATAAGGGGAAAAGAGAGGGGGGAACGAGGGGGAGCAGAGGGGGGAACGAGGGGAAGCCGAGGGGGAAATAAGGGGAAGGAGAGGGGGGAACGAGGGGAAGCAGAGGGGGAAATAAAGGGAAGGAGAGGGGGGAACGAGGGGAAGAAGAGGGGGAATAAGGGGGAGGAGAGGGTCGACGAGGGCATAGAGGGGGGATGATAAGGCCATGTTGCATACTTGGGGTGAAGGTTGGAAGGGGCAGAGAAGGGAAGGGAAGGGGTAGGGGAAACAATACTGCATGAGTGCCGTAGTGATGGACCGGGCGATACGAATGAGAGGGAGAATGGGGGAAAAGCTTATGGCTGACTCACCTTGAGCACGGGGGTGAGCACCAGGGGAAGTGATAGGGAGAAGTGGGGAAATGGCGAAATGGCGTGTGAGGCTCGCGGTTCGCAGCGCATGAGATGAGTTTAGGGACATGCGAGCAGCTGGAGTCGCGTTCAGCTGGTGACGCGAGAAGCTGGTGACATGCTAAGCGGAACTGGGGGGGAGAAGCGGGGGAGAAGAGGCGAAAATGGGGGGGCGGGGGGGGGGGAGTGAGGGAAATGAGAGGGAAAAGGGGGGGGGAGTTGGGGAAGGAAATGAGAGGGAGAAGAGGGAGAAGTGAGGGGGAGCAGTGGGGGAAATGGAACAAGGGAGGGGATGAGAGGAAGAAGGGGGGCCAATGAGGGGGAGACGGAGGGGTGATGAGATGGATAAAGGGGAGAAACGAGAGGGAGAAGTGGGGGGGAGTGTGAAGGAGCAGTGGGGGAAATAGCGAGGGAGCAGGGGGGGAAATGAGAGGAGGAACGGGGCTAAATGAGAGGGAGAGAAGGGGGAAATGAGGAGGAAGTAGGGGAAATGAGAGGGAGAAGGGGGGAAATGAGGGAAGAGGGATGGGAAATGAGGGGTCCGGGGAAGGAGGTTGGACGACGGGCTCCCCGTATTCATGGCGGCGCGCCCATTCAACGGTGGCAATTTGGCCTGCTCGACGAATGGGAGAGTGTGTTGCCGACAAAAGAGAGACGAATGGGAGGCGAGCAGCGCGTGAGGTCCTTTGTTTTGCGGAGCGCAGCATTTGAGGTGAATTCGACATTCGCCCAGAGACGCGAGCACCAGGTGAGGCCAGCAGAGCGTGAGCGTGAAGCCGGTGACGTGCTAAGCGAGGCGAGCTATGGGTTACACGAGAAGCAATCGCCTGCCCTAAGACTTGAGAGGAATCGCAGTGGGTGAGGTGCTAAGCGGTGCGTCGCTAAGCGGTGAGGCGCTAAGAGGTGAGGCGCTAAGCGGTGAGGCGCTCAGCGGTGAGGCGCTAAGAGGTGAGGCGCTAAGCAGTGCGTTGCTAAGCGGTGAGGCGCTAAGCGGTGAGGCGCTCAGCGGTGAGGCGCTAAGGGGTGAGGCGCTAAGAGGTGAGGCGCTAAGCGGTTTTGCGCTACTCTACAAAAAAATTATGTCACAATCCATGCCCAAATCTGGGTTTTCCCCATGCATGCGCGCTCACCATTGCACAGGAATTGAGTTGGGTAACTTGAAGCATTGTTTTTGGGGAAGAACAATGCTGAACCAATGTCATGGAGGTGGAAACAATGTCCCCCCTTCCTCATTGTCTCAGCAGCTACCTGCAGTTTGGATCTCAACAGCCCTGCACGTGCCAATTTGGTTTGGTACAGCAGATATTGTACGGTTGTGCTGGATGTACAACGGTGCAATTGCATTACAGTGATCCTAAACTTTCGGTTCATTGTTTGATTCCGTCGGCATAAAGTTGCAGCTTTAGATAGTAACGATTGCGACTGTGACGAATTCAGATAAGGCTTTGCTGACGCGTCAAAAAAACAGTGCGTCAGATCCCTGTGGCGTCACACTCAAATGTGACAGCGCGGATGCACATGTGCCTTGTGGCTGATTTGGCGCTCGTGTGTTACTTCGCCTAGGTTTCGCCAATACGCACGGCAGTGCCTTTTGGTGTGCGGGACAGTTCTCACCCTCGCCATTCTAACTCCATCCACATCCCATCTCTCTCATTCATTCACTCGTAATAATTTCCATGCTCCGTTTTCCTCAGCTTGTGCGGTTCTCCAGCAGAGTGCGCTTTATTTCTGATGTGTACGATACTAAGTTCGCTATCCATATTCCGTTCGTCTTACTTCCTCCCTCCGACAGGATGTTGAAAGTCTTCCGCGGCTGAACGGAAATCGCGATGTTCGTACGGTCTCGCGCCCTACACTCGCTGGTCCATTCATGTGCAAAATCTGGTACGCTTTTGTTACAAGCAAGTACTAACAGGCTATTGCGACTTTGTGAATATCTATTCCTGTCCAGAAATGACCCGCGCACGACAACGCTGGCTACTATTATCACCATACTATTTCTTCTATCGATTATTTTTCATCGCCAAAATATCGCCGAGTTTATCCCTTTTGCTGACCGAGTTTCAAGCGATGCAGTGCCTAACACAGCAATGGCAAAGCTGGTAGGTTCATTTTGGTGGGTTTTGTGGCAACCTTCCTGTTGTGGCTCTTTGCTGACTTAGTCTGCTGCCTGTGTTGGTGCTGAGTGCAGAACGAACGTTCTTCCTGCTGTGATGGTAAGTGGTTCGTTCAGGCAGATGGGAGTCCGATAATGGATGATGCTTTCGGATATATCTGGTGAGGCGCTTAGCGGTGAGGTGCTGCGCGGTGCCGCGCTAAGTGTTGAGGCGCAGCGGGGTACATTAGACGCGACGCGGGTGACGCGCTAAGAGGGTGTCGTGAGCTGCGGGATCGGCGAGAATATCGCCCGCGAGGGCTTACGCATGGAATGCGGTGCACGTTGCTGAGGCTAATGAAACTGCTATCGTGAGGACTTTGAACGAGTCTATTCGTGAGACAGTAACGTTTTGTAGAAAGGTTTACTCAATAATCACGCCAGCCAGCCATACGACACGTGTCCCCTCACATCTCGCGTTTTTTCAGTGGTGGAGCTGCTCCTCGCGCCGGCTAGTCGCCATTTGTATAGTTGTATCAAGGCCTATCATAGAATTTAGTCACTTATCCGCACACTCTGTAAGCTCAACTCCACGGGTTGGGTGACGGGAGAGTTTCTTGTGTTCGCAACTAGGGAACATTCTAAAATTTTGCCATCCTATCGCCAAGCCCGTTCGTTTTCGTTGGGGTGTACTCTTGGTGGGTACTGTTCCAACGCCAACAGTACTTTCAAATGTAGGCGCCACCAGCGCAACACACTTTTTAAGTTTGCGCGGGAGCTCCGCGCAAGTGTACTCGTCTGCCCTAAACCGATGCCGTGATGATAAAACCATACTAATGAGTTCTAATTCAAGTCTGTACAAACGCTGACATGGAATGAAATACAATGAACCATTCAAATCCTTTCAGCATTAATGTGTTCAAGCCAATCATTGCGGAAAACTATATGTGGTACATCAAGTCGTACAACCAGCATAGCGTGACTGCCCGTATGCAGTGCACATTCAGCCATAGATGCTTCATCCGACCTTACACTAACCAGTATGTTCGTTCTCCTCATCCGTCGGCAAAGTCTACTGCTGCTTCTGCCACAACCATCCACCTCACATGCCAAAGTTGTCATTCCTTGTGAGGCATGTGGCATCGTTCACGTGCGAAGCACCGAAAAGGAAAATAGGCTAGTGGTGGTGAAAAGTAGAAGCCTCTGATATATGTGCTCCCGCCGAAACAGCTGATGTTTTGTATTCGTGCAATTGACACAACGGGGCAATCGTGCGGCAATCCGCGCCGACACAGGCGCAATGGGCGGAGGTGGTGGCGCTGGACGAGGAGGTGCAGGTGCTGTTCGGTGAGCGCGCCAAGGCGCAGCTCGATGCGGATAATGTCAGAATCCCAGCCACTAACCACTGGGATAAAAGGGCTTGTTTGTGTAGCGGGTGAGTGCGCCCATAACCCCCCAGGCCAACGTGCCTGTAACCCTTCCCTATGATCAATCGGGGATCTCCAGTGGACCTCTGACACCCCCCCGCACTGGGATGCCCGAAGTGCACACACCGGGATTCGAACTCGAGACCTTCGCTCTGATACCATGTCAGAATCCCAGTCACTAACCACTGGGATAAAAGGGCTTGTTTGTGTAGCGGGTGAGTGCGCCCATAACCCCCCAGGCCGACGTGCCTGTAACCCTTCCCTAGGATCATCGGGGATCCCCAGTGGACCTCTGACACCCCCCCGCACTGGGATGCCCGAAGTGCACACACCGGGAATCGAACCCGAGACCTTCGCTCTGATACCATGTCAGAATCCCAGCCACTAACCACTGGGATAAAAGGGCTTGTTTGTGTAGCGGGTGAGTGCGCCCATAACCCCCCAGGCCAACGTGCCTGTAACCCTTCCCTAGGATCAATCGGGGATCTCCAGTGGACCTCTGACACCCCCCCGCACTGGGATGCCCGAAGTGCACACACCGGGAATCGAACCCGAGACCTTCGCTCTGATACCATGTCAGAATCCCAGTCACTAACCACTGGGATAAAAGGGCTTGTTTATATAGCGGGTGAGTGCGCCCATAACCCCCCAGGCCGACGTGCCTGTAACCCTTCCCTAGGATCATCGGGGATCCCCAGTGGACCTCTGACAGATAAGGTCTACGACGACCTGCGCACCGCGCGGGCCGCCACCAACAAGAAGGTGTGCGGGTTTTCCTTCCCGCTCTCCCGATCCGCGTCGCCTTTCCCCACCCTCCCCCCTCCTCTCCTCGCTCCCCCTATCCCGCTTCCCTGAGCTCCCGCTCGCGGTTCCGCGTCGTCCCCCCTCATCCCCCCTCCTCTCCCTACTTCCCCCGTCACCCTAGGACGAGGATTTCTGGCAGTACCGCGCGGGCCTGGCGGCGATTCAGGAGCGCGCGGCCATTTGCGAGCAGCAGAGCAGGTGCAGCTGGGAGTCGCATCGCGGAAAAGGGCTTGCGGAAAGGCTTCCAAAAACTTGCAAAAAAAGTAACATCTAAGATACCCGCTCCTGCAATTTTCAAGTCAAGGTCGAAAGCAGAAAGTTGGGTTGAGTTTCGGCAACCTTTTCAACACATTTCAGACACCTTTCCGATGCAAAGCGTATACCTAAGCGCAACATAACGTACACTTGGTTGTCACTTCAATATAACATTCATGCCATGCCACGTGGCACAAGTACAGTTTCATGTTCAATGTGTACGTACGACGGTACGTTCGTAAAGATATTTTGCCACGTCAGCATAGATATTTTGCCACGTGTCACTAACGATCTGTGAACGTCAACAAGTCATGTGGACCAATCAGAGTTGAGTCTTAGGTGTGCAAAAACAGCATATTATTGGATTACGATCGGGTGTGCAACTTCCTACATCGAAATCGGTTCACGGGGTTGTCAAACAATGCATATTGTGTTTGTGTAGGCTGCTAGTGGGGTAGCCCATATGGGGTACAACCCAATGTTAGGGTTAGCTTATGTACCCAACTCTTGATCAATGCATTCATTCTTGTCTCTAGATTCTGACATGGTT